CTGCACACAAAAAACTCTGAAGTTATGATGAGGGTTGAGGTATACAATATTATACTTATCCTGCAGGTTGACTAGCCCTTTATATGGGAAACACGTGGGGTTTTTGCACTGTGTTCTTTTAATCTGATTTTTAAAATGTATGTTCGGTGAGATTTGAATTTGGATTACTCTACTACCTTTTTAAAGTCTCTATGGTGATGGTTGAGCTTTATAATTTATACTCTGTACACTATCATGTTGTATATCATTCCAATGACTAATCCTTTTTTGGTATCCTTCTGTCTTTAATTTCTATGTGAGGGTGATGCATCATTGTCTCCGTATAGGTGCAACTTATTTGACATGGAGTGAGATAGAGTTCATCAATGTAGCTCTTTCATGCTCCCTCACTTGTATGAAGGATAATGAAAACCTTTTAAACCACCAGAGTTGATTGCTTTTACATATTTTGTTTTCAATCCATTCTTTAGACTTGTCTCAAAACGACATGTGTGCGTGCACACTAGTTTTTCCTCTCTTTATTTTCATACATGGAGTAACGTTTTGACCTGTGATTTATTCATTATATATATATTTAATGCTTCTCAGGAATCAATGCGGTATGATCAACTTCGGGATGTCGTTGCTAAACGAAAGCCTGGTTGGGAGAACTTGCAAAATGTGAGCATAAACTTTTTGTAATTGAAAGTTATGGATTTACTTTGGAATTTTAAACCTTGAAGTATGTAATCTTTATATGTTTGTATATGGTGTTCAACTCCTGGAGTTCAGAAGATGGCACTAATCCTCGCTGCTTCTTGCATATGATATTTGTAAATTATGAAAAGCTGTTTCCCGTCATTTTAAAGCCCACAATTGCTAAACATAGTTTTTCAAGTCAGGAAATTTTTAGTTTCAGTTAGCAATTATTTTGGTCTTTTATAACTAAGGTTGATTATTTTTCACTTAACTTCAATGATGGGGTATCATCAGTTTGTCATCTATTGGTCTACGTCTAGAAAGCAAAAGTTATAAATTAGAATATATGTTTTCAAATACTTATTTAACGAATTCTACCAATATAGATGCTGGCTAGGGTGATTACTGGGTGAAGAACAAAATAGTAAAATAAAGAGAGATTTCAGAAAAAATCAGATCCAGAACTATTTTGAACTTGAAGATCTTAAATCCAAGTCTTCTTTGAGACAATACTCTGTCGCAAACTCTAATATCCATCAAACAAAGGATGCAAAGAAAGAGGCTGGTACATGCTAAATCTAGGGTTAAGGTGAAACAACATGCTCATGATGCTGGACATGGGAGATGAGCTTCCTTTGTTTTACTCTTTTGTTCAAAATAGTTTTGGACCCGGATATATGGCCGTACAACAGAAATATGGAAGATGAACTTTTTGAAATTTCCCTGTTCCTGATCTTTTCATGCAAGGCTTTTATAATCTGCCTCCATTTATTATCAATTGCAATTAAAAATGAAGCATCTTCATCCTTGCAGCATCATTTACTTGATCAAATCTTGACATCACACTATATGGGCTTGTATCCAAAGTGTTGTATAAGAAGTTGGCTTAATTGCACTTAAATACCCTATAATTTCCCCTAGTTTTCACTTACATACCTTTCACTTGTTTTTGGCAGCACATATATACCCTATAGTTTTTAAAACATTCACTTATATACCCTAAAGTTTTTAAAACTTGCACTTAAATACCCTAAAGTTTTTAAAACTTGCGCTTAAAAACCCTCAAATTTGCATAACTGAGGGTATTTAAGTGAAAGTTTTAATAACCTTAGGGAATATAAGTGCTGCCAAAGACAAGTCAATGTATATGAGTGAGAAGTAGGGGAAACTAAACTATAGGGTATTTAAGTGCAACTAGGTCAAGTTTGGTCTTTTTTAATCCTTTTATATGAATCATATTCTATGATGAATAGAATGGTATGACCTCTATTATATTGCTTGTAGTTTTTCATTAGATTAGTACCAAATTGAGCTTCTCTGAGTCTTGCATTACTGTGTAAGTTTTATTCTAGACTTTCAATCTGATTTTTTCTCCTGTCTATCAGGCTCTTATCACTTTAGATCCCATCCGAGCAAGGGATGACCCGGTTATTGTTAAAAATGTTCCTTTTTACAAGGCAAAGAAAGCTCTAGAGGCCGAAGTCATGAAGCTTGAAGTTCCACCTCGTCCTGATAATTGGGGTGTAAGAGCCACAATTTCTTTTAATGTTTAATTCTTTTTGTTAACGTATTCAGATGTTACATCCCTTGTACATATATTTTTAATAATTAGCATAGCCAACTTGGTTTATGTCAACCCATCATTTGGCCTTGAGAATTCCAAAAAGGAGGTTATGAATCTTGAAGTTCTCATTATTATTTATCATATTTAACAATGTATCTTTATGTTCTCATTAGTAAAAACTACAATGGCATTTACAAGTTATGATGCCCAAAATTCCCTTCTCAAAAACTCCAGGCTCCTATTCCGTAACACTTGATGGACAAGATGGACAAGTACTGGGTCCTTTCCAGTCTCCACAAGCATCATAACTTATAGTTGCCATTGAAAGCTTGCCGCCTGGTTAGTAGGTTTATCACCTTGGAAATGTATTAGATACAAGCTATTGTAAAAAGTTCATACATGAATAAATTTGTACAGTGAACATAATGAACATTTTGAATGCAATAACATGCAATGATATTGACTGTTTAGACTATTTATATGTGGTAAAATATATAATGTGCCATAGAACTGTGTAATGCTTATGTCTAAAACTTATTGCAATTCGTCTTACGCCTTGTTCATCAATATTTTCTTTCGGCGATTAAAAGCTATAATTAGCTCACTGCATATTCTTCCCCCAATTCAATGACAAGCAACTTCCAATCTGAAAAATCACCGGCAGAGGCTTTTGATTATAAATGTATATACAAGTGATGGTGCAAGATAATGACCTCCCAATGAATCCTATAGTTCTTGTTTACTTCTAATGAATTTTTATTTTAATCATTTCAACTTTTGCACATTGCTTGTGCTGGTTATTGGCTCAATGAACGCTTTGACTCAGGTCTTACCAAGCCCAACAGGAGTAAGTCCTGTGTTCACTGAAATTAGTTTGGTTCTATATAGCAGGTTATACCAATTCATAGTTTTATGGCATGTAATGTCAGTCAGACATATTTGTAAATTATATGCTGGGATTGACCTTATTATTTATTATATCAAGAATGCGTTATTGACTGGCACTTGTCATTGATCATGAAATTTATATATTATTAATGAATGGTTATCACCAAACATGGTAATATATATACTTCATGCACAAAGGGTTTACTGGGAATTGGTTCAGTCATATAATTCTGACAAAAGTTTATACAGGAATTGGAGCTTCCCCTTAGCAGATCTTCATGGACAGACAAAGAGTTGAAAGATCCAAAGAAGCTGTTAGAGATGACAACCCTTCTCGATGCTCAAAGAGAAATGGCCAGTAAATTACTAGATGCACAGTGGGAAGCAAAATGGCGCCAAGACAAGGTATTGACTGTCTCAAGCTTATTTGCATTGTATTCAAGACTGACTACATATAGTGTTCTACTGCTTCACTTGCACCATAGCCAGATTACATATAGAGGGTTCTGCTTCACTTGCACATATCTTGATCTTCAAAGATGTTATCATGTGAAAACTTCAGGAGTTTTTGGGCCTGACCTAGGCTTTTGCACTGCCACTTACACTTGTTTTTATGGGTATTTCTTGAACTTTAGTTTTGTGCTAAGTAAGAAAATATCTAAGTTTGTTTTTGCATTTCAAAATTCAGTATTCTTGTCTGATTGTTCCTTTTGGGTCAATAACATTACTTGTGAAGATAAACAAAAATTATCGGTTCTATCAACTTACGCGCAGGTTGGGGTTAGGATTGCAAATCCTAAAAATAAAACTATAATTTGCTGCAGACATTTTCTTATAATCTCTCATCTAATATATTCTTCAGAAGTTACAAACTGAATGGCTTTATTAGCTATTATGCACCAAGTTGAGTTTATTATGCTGATGACTTCAAGAAATAAAATGTATGGAATTTTATTATTACCTATTTGATGGCATATGGATTATTATGGACGATGGTGTTGCTTCTCTTGATTTTTCAATTTATGACAACATAATTGTTAACACAAATCTGGAGTTTCAGGTTGAGTATGAGTTCGTATGATGTGAGTTCAAATCTCAGATGTACCAGACATAGACACACAAACAAGCACTACACGTTCTGGATTTCCTGAACTCATGATTTGCATGTTTCATTCATCTTTGACGTGTCAGACACAAACGCACACAAATATACACTCAAAAGACTTACTGAATTTACCGAACTTATGATTTTCATGCTTCATGCAATTTCAGTTAAATGCTCTGTTAGAAGAGAAGTTACAACCATATGTTCGTGGCGTTGACAAAGGTGTACTTCCCCAGTCTATTGTCATACAATCCAGTGATCAAGAAAACAAGGTATGCCTTTCATTTTAGTGTTTTATGTGGTTTTGTTTACCTGTCGTCAGTCTATTCTTTTCCCTCGTCCTTTGATTTGTTTATCCACATTCTTCCCAATCAGCCATATGAATTAAATTAGCATTTCTGCCTCTGGATATTGTGCGAACAAAATGAAATGTTCTGAATTGTTCAGAAAAAGAACACTCGGCGAAGATGGTTATTCTTTTGACAGAGGAAAGCGTAAGCTATCTTTACCACTGTACTATTTCAAGCCCTTCAAAAAAGGGTGTCATGGTTTCCAAGGACAGGACGAGTTCAAAGCCAATTCAGATCAGCTTCTTTCAGGATTGCTTAATTGAAATAACTTATCATGTCTCAAAGCATGTTATCAGTTGTTGGATTGGAATCCATGAGGTTAGCTCTTGTTTCTCTCTCCGTGATGAAATTTTGTCTGTTATCACATAGAGTGAAAGTGTAGCACTTAACTCTTCTACTTCTTTGTTAAGAATTTCACACTTGCCTTTGTACTTCGCCAACTATGTGCAATATGAGCAGAAATTTTGTGAAAATTGCATAGGACCAGTAAGGTGTTCATGTTTCATCGAGTATTAATTGAACTGTATGGTTGGTCAAATTTCCCTGTGATATGCAACCCATGAGCTTCGACGTCTTTCATTGATGTTGTCTTGGTCATTATTTTTCCAGTCTGATTAGGATGTTTGTTTCCTAATAAGTGGTCTTATCAGCTAGCCATTTTTGGATGCATAGGATTTTACCATCTATTGCGTTCATCATGTCACAAATAGGCAATTGCAATCTCATGTAGTTATGATCTTAGTTGTTTGGTTCAGCTTTAAATCCTTTTGCAGCTCGCATGGTAACTTTACCTATGTTGTTGCAGTTGCAATTGCATTTACGAGGTGCCACAGAAACAACCACAATTAGTCTATAATATTCCCATTGCAAAGCTAAAGTTGGTTCCAACATCGCTAGTTGCATTCAAACGAATAGCTGAGTATAGAGCTTGTTTGCGTCAAACTGCGACCGAGGATCATCGGACATACAAATCGAGTACCAACCCATATGCACTCTCGGATCCAAATCCGCATCCTCTCCCTCCCCCAAATATATCCGCACCCGAAACCGTATCGGATTGAAAATCATCAATCCACTCCAACGGTTGCAATGCCCCCCTCCACACCACCACCACCTCCCTCCTCCCCATCGCCCTCGTCACTGCGATGTATCCCATCCAGTTCGACTCTTTACTCCATGCTTCCCTCGACAAACGTTTCATCATGAACGCCTCTGGTAGCTCTATGCTTGATGTCGCGTACAAAAATTTTGTCACTTGAGTATTCAGATTATTTTTATTAGAGAGGAATATCATAGACTCTTTAACTAAAATAAGGACTTAGAACATTTTAAGTAATTTTCCCTCTTCTAGTTTTTATATTTATTCTCACCCTTTCGCTTTTTAATGTTGCATGACTAATTTTCTGAGATGATATAATATTTTAGAAATACATTCAATTAGAACAGTCTGCATATGAGTAGGTTGCTCTTAGGATGGTGAAAAATCTCCAAATTATTTTCATGTCCTTCCCGTGAGTGGGCTATTGGGATACAATGTGTACTCGTATTATGTTATGCAGATTTGTAGAATTATGATATTTTCCTCTAATAAGAGAAGTTTTCTATAAACTTTACACGTATATTTATTGGTAATATGGAGGGAATGGGTGAGAACGGCATGCCAGTGTGCATACCGTTTTGATAAAATTTGTAGTTATACTTTTATTTGAAGACTATATATAGTATTTTCTGTCTAATAAAAATAGCTTATAGTATTTTTTTACCTGAATACCTGTGTATTTACTGCTAATACGGGAGCGGCATAGCGAGAGACCGACGTTTACAAAAAAGTGGCTGCGAGAGAAGCGACAAGCTCCAGCGAACCTGGAAGCTTAATTTCTCGCGGTTGAAAGCGTCGTAGGTGGCTTCAGCCATCTCGCCGTACTGGACTGCCGTACTGGATTACGAGATGACGGAGGCGGAGGTCGAGGGGGGTCGAGGAGGCAGTCCCAGTCGTTGTCGCCGTTTAGCTCCCGCCAGTTTTTGCTGGCTCTATTTCCCATTGAAGATGGGGGGGCTTGTGGAGAGTGCCTGCAACCGAACTAATATATGGGCGGGGTAGATAAAGGTGTATTCTTTATTGTTTTAAGAGTGGTGTTAGGGGCACACCTCCAACCACACCTCCCCTCTCATTCGCTACAGTACTCCGGGTCCCATATGAGTTTTTAAAATTTTAAAAACTCATGTGGGACCCGGAGTACAGTAGCGAATGAGAGGGGGAGGTGTGGTTGGAGGTGTGACTTGGGGTGTGCCCCTAACATTTCTATTGTTTTAATCCTATATTTCTACTCACTTTATTTTTAGACCAACTTCTCTTCAATTTTTCACTTAAACCCAAATTACCTAATATCACTTTTTCTAAAAATCATTGAGTTATAATGAATGCGTTTATACAGTATATATGATTATTGCAAAGGGGTGCAAAAACTAAGCTGTACTCTTGGACGCATCAGTGTTTGTGTCAAGTACGATATGAATATGGATACGAAATATCTAGATCATATAATTATGGATATGTAAGTGAAGTGTTTGTATTCATGTTGGAATATATGTTTGATCATATAGTTGAAATTGTTTTGACCAATAGATTATTGTTAAGTTTGGTGATCCGCATCTTTTCAGATGCCGAACATATTAGAAAAACTAAATGAACAAGCAGAAAATTATTTTTGACAAATAGCAAAGATACAATCATAATCACCCACTAGTTAATACTTATGATCAAATAGTGGTTCATCCGTTACTTTTTTTTCGTAGTGGAGAGGATCGAATCCTTTATCAGCTCTTTCAGCGATCTCCGCCACTTTAAAATCAATTGACGCGTTCTTCGGTATCAAATATCCCTCAATTATATTTCTTGTCGTCCATTCACACATGCACGAGTACTAAGCAAAACACGGCGAACTTAAAACTATATATTTCGCGATCACACCACCATCAACAGAATCTCGAGACTGAGCATTTAGATGCTCAATCAGAACTCTGACTCTCGACGAATGTAGGATCTCTGACGTGAGTTTGCGGTGCAGCAAACGCGATGGAGGGCCGTAGAGGGGCGGAAGATGTGTCCGTTGGGAACTTGTTTTGGCCGGTCGGAAAAGATGGTGCCTCGTTCGATGAGGGCTTTGTGGGCGAGGCAGCGGCCGGAGATATAGATGGCGGAGAATGGGCCAATGTGGAAGGTGTCGAATGGGCAGTGTTTCTTGGTGAGGTCGCCGAGCATGGACTCTACGTCAGAGGAGGAGTGGCGGAGCCAGGGGAGGTCGCCGATGATGGGGAAGGAAGGTGGGCCCGGAGGGCGCTTGTGGTCACCGTGTAGAGGGAGGTGGAGAGGAAGATGTAGAGGAGGATGAGGAGGAAGATCTCCATGTTTGTTTTTGTTTTTCCAGGCATGAGGTTTTTGTAGGGAGCTTTGCTACAGGGACCCAAAATATGGAACCAATAAAAGGGACAAGTGAGGTGTCCCCCTCCTATTGGATAATGAATTGGTCATCATTAATGATGACCAACTCATTATCCAATAGGAGGGGGACACCTCACTTGTCCCCCCTATATATTAGTCCCATATTTTGGGTCCTTAAAGAATTTTTCTTTTGTAGACGGGGGCTTATTATAAGTGAAACCACCTTTGATTGTCTTAACTCTATCTTTAGAGAGGTTTTGCATTGGGGAACCGTGGATGGTTCGGATGTTAGGAAGTTTCAACATGGTACCAAGTTTTTGCATTCAATTCTCGTATTTGTTTTTCTATCCAGTGCCCTTGGGCACCCGATAAGAAAAACATATGTCATTAATTACTCCTCCATCCAAAATACTAATTAATATACTAATTAATTATTCCCCTACTAATTACTTATCCTCTTCAATGAATTAACTCGCCGACGGTTGATGTGCCACAATGGCTCAAAGAGGAATAATTAATTTGAAATATAAATTGCTCAACTTGATGGCGTAAGTGAATGCATATATATATATATACAATACACTATAAAAGCTTAATCAAAATATCAAATATATCACAAAATTTGCCTTAATAACCACAAAAAAGAAATACAATGTTCTAAATCACCATCATCATGACAAATACTTTCACCTTCATGTAGGATCCGTCAATAGCAAGAACCTGTCAAAATAAATTAAAGCTTGCTTAGAACATACTATGATTAAGAATAAATAAATTAAAACTACAAAAAATTTCAAAAGATAGTTAGAATGCACTTACGAGTTCAAAATTAGTCTGCTTATGTTGATTAATATTTTGCTGATAAAATTGTATTCAAATTTGATGTGCAATTTCTCATTCGCTTGTTGGTTGATAATTCACCATCCTCCGCATTTTCCTTTTGCGAACAAGTAGCAGCATAATTGTGACCGGCATTTCCACACAATCTACAAGTCTTCACTTGCTTTCTCAACTCCTTTCCACTCTTCATGCGTTTCTGCTTGGGACGTCCTTTTGTTTTCGAAAGCGGGGGACAACCAACATGGACCACATCCATATTATCATTGATACTATTAATGTCATCAAGTAATGCTCTAACTCCCATACTCTTTGATGCCTCATGACGCCATCTTAATGGAAAATATGCTTGAGGAATTTGAAAACAATCTTTATGAAGAAAAACACTCAAGATATGACGACAGAGAATACCCCAGAACTCATAATTCCTACAACTACAATGAGTCTTTTCTCCATCCCAAAATACCCTATGCTTTTGGCTTTGTGTGTTTTTATAATATTGTACCATGAAATCATTTGCACAGTAAACAATCATAATGTACTGAGTTGCCCTCTCAAACTCCTCTTGAAACTTTTTAAAGGAAAATGGTGTCAATACACTATGAGCTTGAACTTCCTATGGGGACAAACTTTTCAAACAAGATCTTCTATGTGTGTTCAACATAGTGCTATGTGTTTGCTTTTGCACAATATCTTCAATAGCAAGATCAACCTATAAGCAAATTATAAAATAAATAACAAATTTGAAAAACAAGGATATGCAAACTAAATAGTTTATAAATGAATTTGAAATACTTACCTGTTTTACGAATTGGCTCAAACATGTACGTGGACCTATGAACCGCTTGATAAAAGCATTGATACTTTCTGATCTTCCAGTTGTTGTCATTCAAAAAATAATCACGAAGATAAGCGGGTACCCAAAAGTGCCTCATCTCGTACAAGCCTTGCACATGTTTGTTCATATGCATTCCATACTTCTCCATCACTTGATGCCATTGTTGTTCAAACTCAATAGGAGTCTCCAACTTATATAATTTATAAAAATCAGTACACCAACTTGAATATCGATTTCGTAAAAGTCCGATAACCCAACTACTAAATTTGGAGGTAATGTGCCATATACAAAAGGCATGCTTGGTTAAAGGCATCTCAATTGAAATAGCTTCGACCATCCACGGGTCTTGATCAGTCAATATTGTCTTGGGAGTTCTTTGCATTAATGATATAAAAGTCTGAAAAGAATTTTTTGTTAAAATAAAACAATAGTAAAATATATTATGCTAAAAAGAGACAATGACTCAACAATATAAAATAATGCATGAAGTTACCTTCATCAACCATGAAAAGGCATTCCTTGTCTCATTCCGAAGAAGAGCGCAACCAAATAAAAGAGTGTTCCCATGATTATCGATACCCACAAAAATACCAAAAGGCATGTCATATGAATTCACCCTATAAGTAGTGTCAAATGCAATGACATCTCCAAATCTTTGATACCAATCAAAACAATGTGTTGGTGACCAGAAAATATGCTCCAATCTTTGGTCTTCATCAAGTGTGTAATTGTACTGAAAAGCAGGATTCTCTTCTTTTGCCATGTAACAATAATGCAAAAGCTCCATCACATCATTATCAACATTATTCCTAGTGACCCTACTTAAAAAGTTATGAACATCTTTAGAAAGAAATGAAAGATATCCATGTTTAACATTTTTCTCAAGCTCCATCACACGCATAATTTGTCTAACCGAAAGACCTCCTTCTCTTAGTAAAAGTATTCTCTCCTTATCTTCTTCGGTGATGGTGCGATAAGATGGGAGAAAGTGTACTTCCTCGGGTGACAATAACTCATGATTGTGGTTAGCTACGAACTCCGTCACATGCCATTCTTGAGGAAATATATCAAAAAGCCTTTTTAAAGTAATACGCATGTGAGCCTTACACTCACATTTTACGGAAATTTTATCTCGTTGTTGCTTTGATGGGTCTATTATTTTCAATAGGGGTTTCCCCGCACATGAGCAAAAGAAATCACGCCTACTTATTTCTCTATCTTTATTTTTGTCAAATCTACCTTTCCGAATTGAAAAGCCTTGAGCTTTTGCATATCCCTTGTAGTAAACAAAAGCCTCCTCTTCACTTAAAAAACATTGACCAACAAAAGGCTCAAAGAAAATATTCATGATATGTTCTCTACTTTCATATTCTAAATCTAATTGCTCAACTTGATGCAACTCACAATCATCATTCTCTGGTAATTCATTCAAATCAAAGAACTTTGTGACACTACCTCTATTAGAACCACTTGCCATTGAAGCTTCATCCATCTATTACATAAAAAAACAAGAAATATAAATTAAAAGTAACAAAATATATAAAAAATAAAATAGTAAAATATATTGTAATTACCTCATCAATGTTGTGTTGGTGAATGGAGAAAAGGGGTGAAATTCAATAGATAGCAAGCCTCCTCTTCAATGGATAATAATATGTTGAATTTAAAGTAATTTGGTAGAAGATAAACCCGGGAAAAAAACCCGGGAATAAAATTGTGGTACATCAATTGGTGGGGAGTTAATTCATTGAAGAGGATAATTAATTAGTAGGGAGATAATTAATTAGTATATTAATTATTACTTTGGATGGAGGAATAATTAATGACATATGTTTTTCTTATCGGGTGCCCAAGGGCACTCGATAGAAAAACCGTTTTAAGGAGATTTTAAAGACAAAACCCTTTCTAAAGAATCTTTCGACAGGAAAAAAGTATCGATTCAAGAGAAACACTAAGCATGAAGAAGAATTATTCCCCGCAAGTGACCTAATGATTACGGCTTATGGCATTCTCGGCATTGAGATACTTGTACTTACCTTTTCACTGAGGTTTACCTAGGGGTCTCCATTTGGGCCTAAGGCCCGGGCCTGGCCTGGTGTCCGGAATGGACTCGGCCGAGCCCAAAGCCCGGCCCAAGCTGAGCTGACCCGGAAATCCAGCGAGCGGCTCTGGCCCCTGGGTCAGCGCTTGGCCCTGATCCGGCGCCCGGATTTTTGGTGGAAAAATGGGCCCGGGCCGGAATGACCGACCCGATGGTCCAACGGTCACATCGTGACCGTTTGGCTGGCGCTCGACCGGGCCGGGCCATAGCTCGGGCCCAGCCCGACCACAATGATCATGAATGTGACTGTTGGCCGGGCAGCCCTGGCCCGGCCGAGGCCCGACTTGGTCACAACGGTCACATTGGAGACCGTTGGCTGGGCGGGCCCAGGCCTGGCCCGGTCCGAACGACTATTTTTTGGCTTTTGACCAAAATATCCCAAAAATGATCAAAAAAGGGTCAACATTTGAGGGTATTTTGGTCATTTGGCTAGGGGGTTGCCTCTATAAATAGAGGGAGTTTCATTTATTTTTCTCATTCAAAACTCATTTACTTCTCTCAAATACTCTCTAATACTTTCTTATTCTCACTTTTACTCTCTAATTATTCAATCAAATGGCTTCCTCCTACGATTATAAAGGGCAAATCCCAACTCCCAATGTTGAAATGAGTCCTAATAATCCTACTACATGAGCTACAGTTACTCCTCCTACTGATGTTGATCACAAATTCGGTGGCGATGATTCTGCACCTAGAG